TTTAAGAGCTGTGTGTGGGGGTTGACCCCGTGGAGACATTCTTCCCTTCCCTGCAGGATGGAGCCGAGGCCACAGCACAGTGGGAGGGCATCTGCCTTGCACGCAGCCAACCCGAGTCTGTTCCCTGGCATCCTGTATGGTCCCCTGAACTCCACCAGCAGTGATTCCTGAGTGCAGAGCCAGGAGTCAGCTCTGAGCGTCACTGGGTGTGGCCCCCAAACTAAACAAAATGTGTCTCAACAGCAACCTCCATCTTTATTTTTCCCTACTGACTGTTGGATCTGTGGCATCACTGGGTGCAGCCCTGGAGGCCTCAGTTCCTGGCACCACAGAGCTCAAGCAAACCGCTTTCTTGTTCCTTGCATTGAACTGTGGTCTGAGAAGCGGAGAGTTGCCAGGACGAGCTCTATGGCCCCCGCCCCCTATACAATTAAATTTGAAGTTCTCTTCCTTCTCCTTTCCCCTCTCACTTTTTGTTGCAATGACACCTGGATGTGCTGGCCACCTGGTGTCATCAGGTTTCAGAGTTTGTTCATTCGAATTTGCACTGCTTCAGTTGCCAGCCTGTCGAGGCCATTGTTATGGCTGTGGTACTTGCTCTAGTGGCTCTGGTACCACCTGGGGCTGCACCCTGCCTGTGGTGCTCAGGCCCACACCTGACTGAGGTGTATCCACAGTGTTCAGGGGTCTGCATGCAGAAATTACTCCTGATGGTGTTCAGGGCTGGAGCGATAGCACAGCGAGTAGGGTGTTTGCCTTGCACACGGCCGACCCGGGTTCGATCCTTCCATCCCTCTCGGAGAGCCCAGCAAGCTACCGAGAGTATCCCGCCCGCACGGCAAAGCCTGGCAAGCTACCCGTGATGTATTCAATATGCCAAAAACAGTAACAAGTCTCACAATGGAGATGTTATTAGTGCCTTAGTGCCTGCTTGAGCAAATCTATGAACAAGGGAGGACAGTGCTACATTGATTTTTTAAAAAAAAATTTTAATGAAATCACTGAGATACACAGTTACAAAGTTGTTCATGTATGGCTTTCATTCCCCCATCTTTTAAACGGGTCCACAGAGGCCCTAGTGGAAGGGCCAGAAACCCTAATGACCAGAGGGTTGACCTCACCTTTTCTGCCCAGCCTTTGAGGCTTGACTCCGGTGCCACCTTCTCCAGGAAATCTTCCCACACACGAGCTGATTTCCTGGGTCCCTGATGCCTGTTTCTTGGCCCATAGACCTGGAGCACCAGCTCCTTCACCTTTGGGGACAAACCTGGAGGGGGTATCCCGAGGGAACAGGGTGTCTTGGGTCTGTACTTAGTCCCAGGAGCGGTATTGTGTGCCCAGTCTGCCCACCGATGTGTGAGCCATGTGGTCCCCCAGATCCCCCTGCAGGCAGACATGGGCTCTGGGGGGCTCCCATCCCGCAGCCAGCCCCATCCTAGACTCTCCTGCTGCAGGGTTCGGTGAGGGGGTTCAGCTGGGGCTGGGTGCTGTCTGCAAGGGAGCCGGACATGGGGAACTTGGCCGCACCCGCCCTGTCCCCCACAGTACACATCTCCCCTCACAGCCTGCCTCTGTTCTTGGGAACCTGAGGGCTGGAAACCCCTGCACACTCAGGGCAGGTGGGGACCCCACACCAGGGCCACACTCTTACCTGTGCCCCTTGTGAGTCCCCCGTCTCCCTGCCCCGGGATCATGTGACTCCCCAGTTCCTGGGCCAAATTCCAGCCCAGTCTTTAGGGGGGCTCTAAGGAGCTGCTGCCACCCCCAGGACCCTCAGCTGCTCCAGACCCTTCTGAAGGCTCTGGGCTCCCTGTGGGTGATCATGCCGCTGCCCCGGGAACCGCCCCAGGGCATGATGGGGGATTCTGTGGGTGCTGCTGTCCCCTCCCTCAGGGTGGCTGCTGGGGGGGCGTGGTGCACCCCAGCTGCTCCTGCCAAGGAGCCCGGCCACCCCCAGCTGTGCTGCCACAGGACAAAGCCACACTGGCCACCTGTCCTGGGCTGCAGGGGGTTCCCGGCCCCCCCCCCCCACAGCCTCCTGGGTCCTACCAGTCGGGACCAGGGAGGGGGATGGTGGAGTCATGGGGACAGGGTGCCTCTGTGGGGGTGATGCCGCTTGCTCTGACACCAACAGACTCAGTTGCTCCCATGTGTGCCTGTGACAGTCATCAAGGCTAGGAGGAGGTAGGCCGTGCCTCAGTATCCCCCTGGCCCCGAGAGGGCAGGGTGAGCAGGAAGGGACTGGGGGCCACCTGCAGCCTGGGAGAGGGACAGGGGAACTAGTGGGTGGGCAGCCAGAAGGTCACTAGCCTGTTCCCCCACAGGACTCCCAGTCACATGCTCACACATACCAGCACACACGTGATCATACACACACACACTCACTCCATCACATACGCATTCACACATACTAGAACAGACATGCTCATATACACAAATGCTCACACACACACACACACACACATACCCTCACACCCACTCCCCCGCACTGTTGTCTGTTCTGGTTGAGCCCGTGTGCTGCACCCGGGGCGGGGTGAGGCGGGTCCCTCCTGCTGCCTACTGGGAGGCCCCCACTGCCAGCTGGCGCCGGGTCAGGTACATGCAGCGCCTGAGACAAGAACATCATGTCCACTCCTCTGGGCCTCCTGACCAGGCTGTAGCCACCATGCCTCGCCCTGAACTGCCTACAGCAGGCACTGCCTCTGGAGCCACTGTGAGGGCTGTGGGGCATGGGAAGAGGCAGGTGAGTCTCCTGGGGCCAACCTGGGCAGTCCCCAGAGCCCACCCCAGCTCAGGGGCAAACCTCAGACTGCCTGGAGGGGAGGTGCGGGGGGGGGAGGGGGCAGGAGGCAGGCCTCACGAGCCTGAACCCAGCCGCACCTGCAGGCTGCTCTGGCCAAGCCTCAGCCGCTCCTAGGCCAGAAGTGCTCCTGGGGTTCAAGCCAATGAGCTGTTTCTTCTTCAGGTCAGAAGGGCCACAGCAACTCAGAAATTGGCAAAGGGGTCGTGAAAGGCACCTTGAAGTGCCCAGGGAGAAGGTGGCCCCTGTCTCTGTTGGTCCCACTGCACCCCCAGACCTGTGCCACAGAGCAGACCCTACGCGCTGGCTTCACCTTGGAGAACACCTGCCCTCAGAGATCAAGGCCAGCACAGTCAGGCGGGGCCGCAGGGCACCCAGCTGAGGCCTGCACTGTCCACTCAGGCTCAAAGGTGCAACGAACCTCTGGCCATGCTCAGAGCACAGCCGCCTCTCTGCACCAATGGTCAGACATGCACGGACATCCTGGCTCACACACTGCTGCAGGTACACACTGCTACCACCCTTGAGTGCACACATGCACTGCCCACACATACAAGCACACGCGCCCTGCTCACACACATGCAAGCACTGTCCACACACACATGCAAGCACACACAGCCTCCGTACACACACTGTCCACACACACAAGCACTGTCTACACAAAGCACACACACACTGTTGCAGACACACACGCTGTTGCAACTAGTTACACAGGCACACACGCACTATTGTACACATGCATACACACTGTTGCACACACAGGCACTGTTACACAGATGCACTCACTGTGCAGATACAGACGCACAGGGGATGCACACACACATGCATACACGACCAACGAGGCTACAGCCTAGGGGGCCGGTGGGCAGTTTCCGAGGTTGGGGACTCGGGAAGCCAGCACAGTCGGACAGGGTGCCTAAGTTACCTGCAGGCTGGAGGACCCGGCATGGAGTGATGGGGAACTTCAGGGGGAACGTCAGGGAACAGCTTGCATTGGAAGGACGCCGCAGTGGGTGGACAGGCTGAGGGGGCCACACCAAGGGGTGCTGGGAGTCCCAGGCTGCCTGGGGGGGGGGCCCTCTTGCTCCCAGAGGGGCAGGGAGATCACAGCCAGGGCCTAACTGCAGGATGACCCAGGGCGAGCGGGGGCAGCTGGCACAGACCCAGCTGGGTCATTGGAAGGAGGGGCCCAGGGCCAGCGCATCTGTGTTCCCGGAAAAACATGAGCCAGTGAGCGGGAACCCACACTCCAAACACGGTGGGTGTTGCTCGGACTTTCCTGCGCTCTGGCTTCCTTCCTAATGGCTGGCAACAGCTGGGAGCACTTGTTCCCGCCGCCCCGCCCCAGCCTGTGAACCCCAGCTGTGTCCCCGGCAGGCCGGGGTGGGGGAGGCTGGCTCTGGGGCCGTGGCTTCTCTCCATCAGACTGGAGGAACAGGAGGTAAGCCCCCTTCCGCAGGGCAGGAGTGAGTGCCTGGATGTATCTGTTACATAGATGTTAGAGCTAAGTGTCACCAAGTTCCACCTGGGAAAAAGGAGCTGGGAAGGCTTCCTGACAGAGGTGGCTTTTAGCCTGCGACCCTGGGAAGGAGTGTGGGCAAAGGGTTGAGCATAAAGTCCCTTGTGGAACGATGGGCTGCACCCTGGAGAACTGCACCCCAGGGGCAGTCAGTGGGGTGCTTCTGCATCTTCCCATGCCTTGTCCTGGGCTCCCTGTCCCTGCCAGGTCAGGCCCTTCTGAAGTGGCCCGACAGAACCTCCACCTCCTTCAAACCAGCGTGACCGGCGGGCTGCCCCTTAGCTGTCTGTGCCCTGCTCCTCCCCCCACCCCTCCAGCCGGTGGGTCGTGGTGTCCAGGCAGAATTGTGCCAGTCGTCACAGGCTCTGGAGAGGGTCTGGGTCCTGGTAGCCCCCCCCACGAGTCCCCTGCAGACCCTGCCCCCAGGAACTACTGGACGTGAAGCCGTGGCATGGGGAGGCTCTGGTTCCTGGGGCAAGGCACTGGTGTTTGACCTGGGGGTCAGCTGGAGACCAGCGTCTCAGGCTCAGCGCCGCCAGCAGGGGGTCCCTGGCACGGGGCAGCCCATGGGGCCCTGTGCCCGGCCTCTCAGTAGCCTGTGGCATCTGTGAGACTCGTGTCCCCTTGCCACCCCATGAGTCAGAGTGGGCCCATGTGTCCGAGCTCGCTCATGGCATCATTTATGAAGAGAGGGAAACTGAGGCGGGTTGGGAGAGGGTCTCATTCGCAGCCCCAATGTGCCAGCCCACTCATTACCCATCCTCCCACCCATGCACCCACACACCCAGGCAGAGGCTCAGGCTGCAGCTGTTGGCACTGGTGCCTACCATCCTTAGCCCTCTGGGTGCCCGCTTGGCACTGCAGGATGAGAGCTGGGGGCACCATCCACAGTAAGGTCAAGACACCCTGACGGGCACAGCCACACCCAGAATGGGAGGCTGCCAGGCATGGGGGGCGTGCAATGTGGCTGAATCACACAGGAAGCCCCTGGGGTCGCAACAGCCAGTCGGGGATGCACCTGGCTGAGGGGGACACAGGGTCCAGGCTGGCCTGGAGAAGCGCAGGGAACCGTGGCCGCCCTCCACGGCTCAGGAGCCGACACTTCACAGCTGTGGTTTCAGAACCAGGCTGCTGCGGTGGGGACGAAGGCTCTGGCCACACCTGGACACTGGGCCGTGTGCCGGTCACTCAGAGAGGGGCCGTGTTCCAGTCACTGAGAGCTGGCCGGTGTGCCAGTCACCCAGAGAGGGGCCGTGTCCCGGTCACTGAGAGCTGGTCTGTGTGCTGGTCACTCAGAGAGGGACCCATGTCCCGCTCACTCAGCTGGCTGTGGAGGGTGGCTGTGACCAGGCTGGTCTCGCTGTTAGTGATGAAGCCTGACACGTTTCCCCATCAGGAGCACTGTCTCCCGGTGGTACCATTTCCTGACAAGAAAGCAAGAGGCTGGGTCTGCGTTTCCTTCTGAATCTTTGGGGCACAGAGCAGAGCACTGACCAAGCTGGCCCTGAGTGGCCAATGCTCTGCAGACCCAAAGGCCAGGTGGGGGCAGGGGCACCAGGGGTCTGCACAGCAGCGCGGCCTTCCCCACTGGGCGCCATCGGAGCCTTGCTTGCGCTGGCCTGGTCTCCTCGCTGGACAGCTGATGGCAGCTACAGCTTGGGTCTCAGGCTGCCCACGGCAGGCTTGTACACGGAGAACTCGCGCCACCAGGCGGGCCGCTCCAGCACGCCTGGCTGCTGCAGCACAGCCCCCCACAGGTTCTTGTAGAGCTGCAGGACAGGGCAGCGGGTGGGCACAGGCGGCAGATGGAGGCCCGGGCCCTCCTCATCCGCAGCTGCCCTCCACACCCACCCTGGGGCCGGCCAGCCTAGCCCTGGCACCACTGGCACTTCCAAGGGAACCTTCACCTCGGAGACTGGCGGGGAGGCAGGCGGGCAGACGCTGAGGGGAGAGGGGCACTGGGCAGCCTGGGGTGTTGAGGGGGGCCGGGGGGCTGAAAGAACTCCTGGTCTACCCCTGCCCCATACCAGGAAGAGGGCGGCTGGCCCGGAAGCACCCTCCCCTCCCCATCCCTGTGTGCCCCTCACTGTGGGAACTCATCTGACAGCACCCCACCACCTGCCAGGACACACCCCTCGCTGCCCCCCACACTTGCTGAGCCCCCCCACCAGCCGCGAGCACCCTCACCTCCCCGTCAGCTCTGGCAATGGGGGAGGCCAGGACAAAGTCAGGGGGGGCGATCGCGTCCACCAGGGCCACCGCGTCATCCTTCAGCTGTTGGGAGCCAAGTTGGGCTGGAGCCACCGGCAGGGCACCCAGGGGTGAGGTCTGCACACGGTGTTTCTGGGGTACCATGTTCTGCAGCCCCGGTGCACTGCAGCAGGAGACCCCGATGCCCAGGTCCTCCGAGCTGACCACGCTGCTGTCTGAGCCCCTCCTGGGACCCCGACACCAGAGGCAGTGCCTGCTAGGGCGAGGGTCATCGGCAATCCCCGCCCTGCAGAGGGGACCCGTGGCATTACTGCAGGACCCTCCTCAGCCCCTCTGAGCACACTACCACTCGCACCCCGTCACATGCTGTGGGCACCGGACAAGCACGAAGAGGGGCTGGCTTGCCTGTCGGTGCCCTAGGGGACCTGGCAGGTGCAGCTGGGATCCCCGCACTCACCTGGGTACACAGGTCCAGGATGGAACGCTCCACCACCTGCCCCGCCTGGGGGCCTGAGAAGTAGCCTCCTGTAAGCACAGTGCCATCACGGGGGGCTGGAGCCTGGGCCAACAGCACACGCACAGCAGGGCAGTGTCTGTCCCCCACTAGGTCACCAGCAGGTGAGAGGTCAACAGGGGGGAGCAGGGGCCGGACCAGGCCAAGGCTCACCTCGGTATAGCAGTGCCATGTGCTGGCTCAGGGACCACAGGCCATAGAGCGCACAGAGACGCCCCAGCACTGGTCTCAGCCCGGTCGGCACCTCGGGCCGCCGCGTGTGTTCTCGGAACCGCTGCAGGACCGTGAGCTCCAGGAAGGCCAGAGCCAGGGGCCGGCAGTGGGACACCTGGGCAGGGCACGGGGAGAGCACAGCCGGGCCAGGGCACTGAGCAGCTCGGCCTGGTCATGGGGACAGAACAGCCGGGCCAGGCCGTGGGGGACAGGACAGCTTAACAGGGCACGGGGCAGGGTGGCTGGGCAGGGCTAGGGGCACAGCCTCTGGGGAACAGTCTCGCACAGTGCCCAGTGAGCAGTGGGGACAGCCCCTGCCCCTCCCGCTGCTCCTTCTCACAGGGCCTGTCCCCAACCCCGTCCCTGCTGTCGCCTGCAGTGAGGCCACACGCAGCAGTGGCCCTGCCGTGGCCAGCAGTGGTGGGGACACTGTCTGGCCTGGTCTCCTGCCGGTGCCCTTCAGCTCTGAGGCCCTGGCGACAAGGGCTCAGGGCCCCAGCCCCTGGGGGCCCCATCCCGTGGGTGCCATGAGTTGAAGCCGCCCTTGGCCCCGCCCACAGGAGCCACCTGCCACACCCCGACTCCATGGCTAGGCACTCGGTGACTCGGACAGGGCTGCACAGTGTGACTAGGGGCCCGTTATGTCTGGCCTGCCGGCACCAGCCAACCATGGTTCTCAGCCTTTTGGCACCTTCGGACTGGCACCCACAGCTCCAGAGTGAGTGAGCAGGTGAGCGGCAGAAGCCTGATGTCACACTAAGGTCAAGGGCCAGGGCCACACAGCGGCGCTAGGGACAGAGCTCGAGACCCAGGAGGCGGGGGCAGACCCGGGCGCACCTGGCAGTTGTTCCTGGCATCGAAGTCGCTGCGGCCCGACATCCGTTCCTGCTCCAGCTGCTGAGAACTGGCCTGGAGCAGGTGACACACCAGCCACTCGTAGGCTGCCAGGGCGGCTTCGCGTGAAACAGAAAACATCGGGCAATAGCTCATGTGACATGTGGGGAAAGCAGCCTTGCAAGATCTGTCACGGGTTCGTACTGCGTCGGGCCAATGTGCTAAGCCATGGGGCGCTTCCTGGCACGTGTGCTGTCATGGTGTGTGTACTGAGACATGGCACGTGTGCCGAGTCATGGCTGTGGAAACTGAGCCAGGCTGTGTATGTCAAGTCACAGTGAGAGTGCTGAGTCACGGCGAGAGGGCTGAGTTGGTGTGTGCTGGACCATGCTGCCTACACTGAGTCATGACTGCACGCTGACTCTCGTGTGTGTGCAGCTGTGAGCACCGCTTTATGGTACAGCTGGAACTGTGCCTGCCACACATGGTCACCTGTGGTGCGCTGGGCAGCAGTGATGGGTTCCCAGCCTCTACCCTGCTGTCCCGAGGGCCACAGGTACCACCACGGAGGCGTCGGGTGCCAGGCCTGCTGAGACAAGCATCCACCCCTGCCACGCTCACTCAGCTGGTGCACAGGGCCACCTCTGCACCGGGGTTGGCAGGAGGGACAGGAGCCCTGCAGAGGCACGGGGCTCGGATCCTGTCTCCCCAGGCCTGGCCCCGGGTCCCCCAAGAGCACAGGAACACGGGTAGTTGCTGGCCAGCGTGCCTTGGTGAGGGGAAGACATGCAGCTCTTGCCTGCCAGAGGAGGGGGCAAATGGCCACTGCAGCCCCGGGCACCCCCTCGGCCCCAGAGGGGACAGGAGCACTACCTGAGGCGTCCAGGCAGTCGCGGGTGCTGGGGCAGGTGGCCGTCCGGCCAAGGATGTCGGGGTATGCCTGCAGGAAGTCCACGGAGCCCAGAGGGCTCTGACAGCGCACACCACCTGGAACGCACGGCGTGAGGTGGGTGCGGAGCCCCCTGCCCCCTGGCCCAGAACTGGCTAGCCCTGGCCCCACCCAGCCTCACCGAGGGCGCCGCACTCCAGGAGGCTGAGCAGGAACTGGCTGGTCTGCTGCAGCAGGACGCTGTTGTCACCCTCGTATGTGCAGTTGGGGTCGTTGTCGTCCCGCAGGGCACCCAGACGGTTCACTGCCATGGGTGGTGGTCAGTCGTCGGGGCCCGACCTGCTGCTCCCCTGCTCCTGCTGCCCCCACCCCACCCCCTCTGCACCCACTCCCACGCCTGCTGCACGCCTCCACTGCAACCCCAACCCAGAGGGGGTCTGCCGTGGGGTGGCGTCCTTGGCTGCCGGGGCCATCACAGCCAGTGTCCGCACGACCGGCCCGAGTTGGCGGGTCCGCGCAGGGCTGAATGCCGGCAGGCGCTGAGCCCCTCGCCACAGAGACACCAGAGAAGAAACGGACTTTGCTCCCTACAGCCTGAGCCCACAGCCGGCCAGAGAGGCGCTGGCCCTCGCACACGTACTGGACAGATAGCCGTGTCCCCCGCAGGCTTCCCGGCACTCCTGGATACCTCGCTGGGCCGTCCACGAGGCTAGGGGCTTGCTGGCCGACGCCAGAGCGTGGATCTCCCGCCCGAGCTCAGCCTGGGAAGGGGAGAAAAGGGGCAGGCAGGTGACGGGGGCCGGAGCCACAGCGTGTGTGTGTGGGGGGGGTGCTTGCCTGGCTTTCCGATGACCTGAGTTTGATTCTCGGCACCACATATGGCCCCCTCGAACCCTGTCAGGAGTTTCCTGTGTGTAGCCAGTGCGGTGCAACCCACCCCGCCACATAGGAAACCTATGCAGGAAGGGGACGTGGGGACGTCACGGATGCGGAGGGGGCGGCCGACATCCCAGATGTGGCGGTGAGCTGGCATTGCCCAAGGAGGGGGCGATGGAGTGCTCGGGACCAGCACTGCCCACACCCACCTGGGGCGAGGGATCCCCCCGCTGGCCGGTACGGCCGCTCCTGTGCCCCAGCTTCAAACCGGCTCCTTACGAGCCCATGTGCCAGTCCCGGCCACTGCCTCAATGCACAAGCAGGCTGACGCCGGGCCCAACTGTGCCACCTGGCTGCCCGGGCTCCTGCATGCTTGGGGGCTGTTCCAAGCTGAATGTCAGGGCGCAGGCCCACTGCCCAGTCCCTGGTGAGCACCCCCAGCTCCTCCAACCCCGAGCCAGCCACTCACCCAATGTGGGGGCCTGTGAGGAAGACCCAAACCCCGACATTCCACGGGGCTGCCCACATGGACAGGGCCAACCACCCACCCTCACGGGTGCGCTGAGCACCCAGCCGCGGAGGCAGCCCTGGCCACCCCCAGTCCGCAGTGAGGGGACACCGAGCCTCTTCCCACGAGTCTGACCCTGGAACTCAGCTTCTACCCACGTGGGTGATACCCCGGGGAGGGCGGGGGCGGGTCCTGCTGGCGGGGCTGGAGGCTGATCTCCAGGGGCTTGGGGGCTGTTTTCTGAGAAGGGACCAGCAGGTGGGTTAGGGGTCTCCGGCTGAGCGCAGGGGCCTGTTTCTCTCCCACCCCCAGCACTCACCTGCCGGGAACCCCGGTCCTCGCCCAGGAGGCCCTGCTGCAGCTGCACCAGGTCCAGGAACAGGGACTTGGAGAAGTGGTCCAGGGCGTAGGCAGCCGCCAGGTAGGGCAGGAGGCGCCATTGCTGGGAAGGGCCACAGTGTCCGCGTGGCACCGGCCCCCAGAAAGAGGGGTGGTATCAGCTGGGGCCCACCCGCTGGCCCACAGAAAGAGGCTGGGTGCCTCAATCCCAATGCCCCTGGTGGGCCAGCACTGCCCTGGGCAGCCCGTGAGGCTGAGGAGGGGAAGGAGATACCTACGCCCCACCCCAGGGGCACAGGGTGACACCAGCCTGCCACCCACTCCGGGTCCTGACACAAGGCTGCACGGGAGTGACCACTGCGCGGTGCGGCCCTGGGGTCCCCTCCTCAGTCATGGACTGGAGGCCAGGCCAGGTGGCACCTCTCCTGCACCCCTGCACCCACCGTGCCCCTGCGGGCTGCTCAACAGCCCCCCCGTGCCCTCCCCTGCTCCCACGCGAGCACCTCCCAGCCCAGAGGCCCGCCCAGCTGGCCTGGCCTCCCCATGACCCCACCCAGCCCCCACGGTACCTGCAGCTGGTACTCCAGCACAGGGACCTCCTCCTGCCCTGAGGGCCCGAACTGCCTTCGGGTGGCCGAGAAGCGCAGGGCGATGGCCACGGCCAGTTTCAGGTTCGCCACAGACATGCCCACAATGGAGACGCGGCCTGTGGACAGGCTGCCCAGGGCCACTCCGAAGCGCTGCCTGGAGTCCTGGGGGACCAGCAGAAGCATGTCACCCGGAAGGGGCCGTGTGGGGTGAGGGTGCTGCCGAGTCAGCTGGGGCTGACCCCACGCACTCGGGGGCTAAGGCAGGCCCCAGCCCCACCACGGCCGGCCTGCCAGGGGCGAGGTTACAAGCAGCACACGCCACGGGCCCTTTTCTCCCATGCAAATGCTGGGCAGAACTGGTCCCACAGCAGTGCATGACCCCATACAGAGATGTACTTTGGGGGTTCCGGAAGATTCCAGAACTTTCTCTGGGAACACCTATAGGTCCCTGCGGACTGTAGGGTGCCACCCTCTACTTTTTATTCTGAATGTGGGGTCATGCCTCTTTGCCCTTTCCCAAACTTCTTGGCCCCTGCCCCCTGCCCCCGAGCAATCTGTCCAAGTCTGGTTACCACCTCCCCCCTGTAAGCCACCCTGTGGTAAAACCCCCTCGGGGTGAAGTCTTCGCCCTGGGGCTGACAGAGGTCTAAGGGGGAACCCCAGAACATTCAGCCTAGCAGCCACTTCTCAACAGAGAGCAAGACTGGCTGGTGTGGGGGCAAATACTAGCCCGGGGAGTCCGCTAGGGGCGTGTCCCCAAGTGGGGGCGTGTCTGCGTAGGGGCATGTCCCCAGGCAGGGGCGTGTCCCTGGGGTAAGGAGTACACAGGGCAGAAGGGCATATTCATGCGTATTGCTGCGTGTCCCTGGCTGAGAGGACGGTTCCATGCACCGAGCCGCCCAGGAGAGCCCATACCTTGAAGGTGGTGACATAGGTGCCCTCAGGGGTGACGTCCCCAGTGCGGTTCAGAAGGTCCGTGCGAGGGATCCTCACCTGGTGGAACATGGCGAACCTGCGAGATGGGGTTGAGGTGAGGGGGCTCCCCTTTTGCCCTGAGCCCCAGCAGAATGGAAGCAAGGGTTGGCTTCTGGGGGGGCAGAAGCCCCCCAAAAACGGAGCAGGAAAGGCAGAAGCCAGGATGTGCCAACACGCTCAAAGAGGACACGGGGCGTCGGGCAAGGCCAGGCCCCTTCCACCGGCAGCAGACACAGGCCCTTCCTTGCTCAGGAAGCCAGTGCCCACCCCCATGCTCCCTGCAGACACCCTGATGTGAGACTACAGCTGTGGCCCATGCAGCCTTGCGGGGTGGGGGGGCACACGTGCAAGCAGGCAACAGAGCCCAGAACTGCAGGGACCCCCGCCCCTTGCTGAACTCAGAGCACAGACCCCCGCCCCCGCTTGAGGGCACAGGAGACCCCCTGCAGGCTCCACGGCCCACCCACCCATCACAACACTGTCCCTGCAGTCGCCACTCTCTGTGCGCGCCCCACACAGGCGCCCTGACCGGCAAACCCTCAGCCCCTCACAGACCCGCTGGCAGAAGTGGAGTCCTGCCTACAACCCACCCAGGACCCTCCACAGCCCCTCCTCGGCTGTGCCTGATGACTGCCAAGCTGCTGGACACTCCGTCCCCAGTTCTGTGAGCGTCGCACCCACAAACTCCTCCCTTTGTTCCAAACCAATCTGGTGGGGGGCAGCGCACACCCCACTCTGGAGGGCAGGAAGCGCCGGGGTCCAGCACCCTCTGCTGGCCAGGCCAGCCTGGGGCCTCGGGGTGGGGAACGTGGGTGTGGGGGGCTCCATCCCAGCGCCCACCCATCTGTACCAGGAAGTGGGTCCTCATGCTGCCCAGGCAGTTGTGGAGACCACCCTTCATCCGGGGCCACTCTTGCTTGCCCTGTGACCACATGTGCCCTGCTGGGCCCCAGGCCTTGGGCATGCGGGGCCCTGGGTGTGGTGTGGGGTATCGAGCCAGTCAGCGCTAGAGACGGCGACTGGGGTGCAGGCATGGTGAGGACAGAGCGCCGACAGGACTGTGCCCTGGCGACCACACACACCCGCTGCAGTGCCCGCCCTGCGCACTGGCCCCGTGTCCCGAGCCCCGCTGCTCACTGAGCGAGTGCCACGCCTCGCCTGTACGGCAGCCAAGGCCTCTCGCCCGTTGCCTTCCGGGTACCAGGAGGTCTCAGGGCACGGCAAGGGAGGAGCGAAACCCCGGCACGAGGGCCACTCCCACAATGCTGACCAGAGATCCCCAGGTGTGCAGGATCTGGGCTGGAATCGCACGGCAGGCACAGCAGGGAGTGCCAGCAACCGCTCCCGACTCGGCACCCTGTACCCCACTTTTGCTGTCGCTGTGTGGGGGCACAAGCTGCAGGTGCTGAGGGCCTCTCTGGGGCCAGCTCAGGCCCTGGATACAGCCATGTGGGGCACGTGTGGGCCACATCACCTAAGCTGTGGCCAGCGCCCAGCCAGGCTCTCAGGCGGAGAGGAGATGGCTGTCCCTAGGGCCAGCGGGAAGGACAGTGAAATCTCTGTCGTGGGCATGCAGCGGCAGCAGTGACCAGCAGGGCCTGGGAAAGCCCTGCTCGAGGTGACTGGGCCCCCCGGGCACTTTCCCGTGACCACCTCCCCCACACTCACCCGTTGTCCAGACCGTTCTGCCCGAGCTTCCGCCCCATGTCGCCGACCATCACCCCTGGCATGGGGAGCAGCGTCTTAGGGTCCCTGATCTGTGGAGTCCAGGGGAGCGGGGATGGCGTCTCAGCCTCGGGCGCTGCGGATATCACAGCGTCTTTCCCAGCTGCGGCTGTGGGTGGGACTGAAGCTCCGAAGCCGGGGGACTTGGGGGTCCAGGCGGACCCTCAACCAGGGACACAAACCCTGGACACCACAGAGTGGGGACTCGGGTATGTGACCAAGTTGGACACGGAGTGGGGTGGCTGAGAGGGGCCCTCGGCAGGCGCGAGGGCCTCCTGCGGGCCCCCAAGGGGCTACCTGCACGATGAAGGCGTGGAGGCCGTGGCACCGGCCCCCTGGCGTGAACAGCTGGGCATACACCACCGCGTGCGTCGCCGTCTTGCCCATGTTGCCAACCCAAAACTTGGCAGCTTCGAAGTCAGGAGAATGAATGATGAATTCCTGCAGGGGGGTGGCGGTCAGGGCAGGAGCATGGCAGGGAGGGGAGGGGCCAGAGAAGGGGCACGCGGCCCCACGGCCAGGTCAGCAGAGTCAGGTGGCCCAGCAGGTGACTGGCTAGGCCATCAGCTGGCCACAAAGGCCGGGGCCCCAAGAATCCAGACATGGGTGAAGACCCCCCCGCGCCACCATCACTGTCTGGGGAATCTTGTGGGGGGCTGGGCCGCTACTTCATTGCAGAGGAGCCACACGGTGCCAGAGACTGGCCGAGACCCCCACAGCGGTCCCTGCATCCCCGCCATCCCTTGCCCTGGGCCTCAGCTTGGTTGTAAACCGGCCCCTCCAACCGCCGCACAGTGCCACCCCTCGGAAGGGACCCACCTGTGTGGTGGGGTCGTAGTGTGCGGTGGTGCGGACGGCCTTGGTGTTGCTCCCGTGACTCAATTCCGTCAGCGCAAAACAGCCAAAGATCTTCCACCAAGGCAGAGACGTATTCAGGAGAGACGGCCGACCGGCCAGGGGCCTGTCGCCTCCCCTGAGGGGCAGCCGAGAGCAGGGCTCGGGGGCTGGCTCACCTCCATCCGCAGGCTCCTGGAGAGGTACTGCAAGTGCCGCTCAGAGCCGGAGCTGTAGATGGTTGAGGTGAACACCTGCACAGACCAGAGCCAGGCTGAGGGATGGGCAGCGCCCGTCCACAGAACACTCGGGAGAAACCCGTGGGCAGGGTCTCAGATGAGGTGCCCGGCGGGCACAGCTGCCTGGCCTCGGGTTCCCGGCAGGCTCCCGGATCAGAGAGATGCCGGGCCCCACTCCCACCCAGGAGAGCCCAGGGGGCTAGGAACAGAGGGAGCGGCACACTGGAGGGTGCAGGAGAGCCAGACTCGCTCCTCCCCCAGCCACCCCACCCATCAGGTGGGAGCAGGGCGCCGGCTCTTTATTCCGCTTCCCCCGCCCCCCCCCTTCATTTCCTTTTCCTGTTTGTCTTAGCTTTGTGCCCACACCCGGTGATGCTCGGGGCTTACTCCTGGCTCTGCACTCAGGGATCAAATCTGGGCCTGGGGGACCATATGGGGTGCCGGCAGATGAACCTGGGCTGCGTCCTGCCCACCACACTATCTCTCAGCAGGAACCAGGGGCACAGGCGGTGGCTCAGAGTCTGAGCCCTGGGGCGAGACACAGGCCGCCCCCAGTCCCTCGCAGACCAGTACTGTCCTGGAGCAGTTCTGGGGTCCTCACCTGTGCGCTGCAGCCTCCTTCCTCATGGGACACCTGTGCCCTTGTGCTTGCAACGCTGCCTGAAGCACCTTTACCACGTCACGCAGGCCACAGCCACACGGGAGCTGCCCCGTGGGTACGTGCCCCGTCTGGATGATAATCCTTCCCCAAGCCTCCATCCCACCCGAACAGCCCAGGGCCACCCCGTGGTGCTGACCCAGGGCAGTGCTGTGGGCAGAGGGCGCCCGCCGGGGCTCACCAGCATGTGGAGGAAGAACTTGTTGCCCAGGGACCAGTCGTACATGCCCAGACACTCGATGAGCGCCAGGGCGCGCAGCGGACACTCGGCCAGCTCCTCCGGCCGAAGGAAGTTGTGCTCCAGAAGGCGGCGGACACGCAGGAAGTTGAGCTCCCGGTACTGCTCCAGGGAGAGCTCGCTGCTACCCCCGCGGGGCTGCGCGAATAGGGGGTCGCGCTCCAGGACCGAGAAGACGGTTTTCTGGGGATGCAGGAGAGGGCGGGGTGGGGCCGGCCCTCTCTCGCGACACTGTGGGCTCCACCAGGCCAGGTCCAGTCTCGCCCAGCACAGTCCTGAGCTGACCGTCCCCCTTGTCCCAAAGGCCCTGGGGTGCCGGCCTCACCTTCAGCTGCAGCGCCTCCTTCCCCTCCAGAAACAGGGCCATCTCCTTCCAGCAGAAGGAGGCGCGCGCCCGGTAGGTGTCCAGGGGCCCCCGGGGCAGGTCTGGCAGCAGGGCCTCGGAGCCACTATCCGTGTTACTGTCCGGCATGGGCGCCATGACTCCAGGCTCGTCCTGTCCCAGCTGCTCACACCGTTGTCAGCCCTCTGTGTTCACACAGTCACCGGCCGCCACGTGGAGCTGTGGGGTCAGACAGAGGACGGCTCTGAAGGAGCCAGCCCCACCCAGAGGGCCACTTGCCCCAAGGAGATGTGAGGGACTTCCTACAGTGAACCCCAGGACAGACGGCTGGACAGGGGCACAGGGCCAGGACGGGCATGCGGGTCTGCAAATAAGCCCCGTCCCAGTCATGGGTGCCCACTGCTTTCTATGGGACCCTGGATAATCCAATGGAGATGGGCAGTCTGGATTCAGATGGCTCAAGGCAAACTGGGGTCTGCCTGGGAAGGAATGAAGCCGAACTTTGCCTCCAAATAAGAATTCGCTCCAACAGCTGTTTTCCTAAAATGCCACAGGAGCGGACCGCAAGTCTCCGGGAAACTGCCTCAGAGCCTGCGGCTGAGTCCACCTGGGGTTGGTCCCCGGAGCACAGCCAGGGCGCACCAGCAACAACAAACCCCAACAACAGGAAACAAAGGAGCACCAACAACAAGCAGTATAAAACAAGACATCCCCGCGGCAAACACGAACACAGATGGGATACCGCCAACATCAGAACCCAGTAAGATCCTGGAGCCGAGAGCAAAAGACTGAAAACCCTGCACGGGGCTCTGGGGAGAAGCAGAGCCCTTGGGTCGCCAGAGGAGGGTGAGGTATGGCAACCACTTTGCAAAAGGTCGATGGGGCTGAAAGGTTGCAGAGCTCCCGGGCAGAGGGCCCACGCCAAGAAATAAAAACTCACCGCCAAGGACACAGCTGTAAACAGGGTTCACCAGGGCACATGGCCAACACTCTCAGGCTCAGTGTTCATAGTCAAACATTAGGCAAGGAGCACGTGTTTGAAACAACTCAGCCACCAGATGCTGGGCTGTGTGTGTATGTGTGTGTGTGTGTGTGTGTGTGTTCTGTGCGCACACGTCCTGAGCAGCTGAGCAGACTCCAGTGCCCCATTTTCACCCAATGTCCAGCAGGGGCCAGCACAGAGCTGGGAAGCACAGCTGCCTGGTGGGGGCCCGGAAAGAGTTCTGGGACCCGGGCAAGCTCGGTGAGAACTAGATGTAAACCACTGGACAGGGCAGTTTAGAGGGTGAATGGCAAGTAGGTGCGTGAGATTTCAATAAAGCGGTAGTTTTAGAGAGAGGGGCTGGAGCCGGCAAGGCAGGAGTGCACTTGCTTTGCATGTGGCTGACCCGGGCATCTCACAGGGTCTCCCAAGCCTCTCCAGAAGTGATTTCCGAGTGCAGAACCAGGAGTAAGCCCTGAGCATCTCGGGGTGTGCCCCTGACATTTTTTTTTGTTTTGGGGCCACACCAGGTGATGCTCAGGGGTCACTCCTGGCTCTGCACTCAGGAATCACTCCCAGTGGTGCTTTGGTGACCATATGGGATGCCAGGGATTGAACACGGTTCAGCTGCGTGCTAGGCAAGCGTCTACCTGCTGTGCTACCTCTCCGACACTCCCCCAGCCCAATTTGGGGGGACACACCGACAGTACTACGGGATGACTCCTGGCTCACTCCTAGCAGGCTCAGGGGACCAGATGGGATGCTGGGGATAGAACCAGGATTGGCTACGTGCAAGGCAATCTCCCTATCCACTGCTATCGCTCCCTCGGCCCCATTTTTCTTTTCCCTTTTCTTTTTTTTTTCTTTTTGGGTTACACTGCTTACTCCTGGCTCTGCACTCAGGAATTACTCCTGGCGGTGCTCAGGGGGCAATATGGGATGCTGGGATTCGAACCCGGGTCGACGGTGTGCAAGGCAAATGCCCTCCCCGCTGTGCTATCGCTTCAGCCCCCACCTCAGCCCCATTTTTAAAGAGAGGTGGAGCAGAAATCACAGGTTTTGCAACTCCGCTTGCCACCATGAGCTGGACAGCCAGCCCTGGGCACCGGACCACCGAGGGCAGCTCCTCCACAGCCCCACATCAGCTTGTCACCCCCCATCTGCAGGAGTGAGCTGCAGCCCGTCCCACAGCTGCCGGGCTCTCCAGAGGGTGCTCTCTTTCTCCAAGGGAGGGACCAGCACTTGTCAGGGAATCCCTCATCACCCTCATCAGACATGGACAGGCCTGATCAGACACCCCGAGGGGGATCGAGCCTGCCAGGCCGCAGGCCAGGAGCACTGTGTGGGCCCAGGCAGGGCTGATCTGCATCTGCACGATCTAAAGTCGGGAACGAGTGACCCCTCAGGGCACACCGCCGGGTGTGGCCTCCAAACCAAGAACAAACGAGAACATAAAGTCCTGGTTGCGGCTTATCCCAGGCGCTGTTCCTTGTCCTTCAGCAGACTCGGGACGGGTCCAAACTCTCCAAACCCGCGCCTCCGCGGCGCGCCCGCCCGCAACCCAGCCTGGCCCGCCGCGGGGGTCCGCCCGGCCCCCTGACCCCTGGCCCCGGGTTCCCCTTGTGCCCCCCATCCGCCTTCCAGGCCCTCGCCTCCTCTTGTCCCTTCGCCCCCTTCCTCCTGCCCGTGGGGCCGCCTTTCCCCTTCGCACCCTTCTGCCAACGCCCCCCTCCACCTTGGGTGTCGGATCCCTGGACCCGGAGTGTCCGCGCCGCGGGGCTGCACTGCGCGCGCTTAAGCACCTGCAGGAGCTGGGACGCTGCAGCCTCCCGGGGCCCCGTCCCGCGCCTGACGCCATCGGGCCGCGCCCTGACATCATCGGCCCGCGCCCGGGCCGCCCCGGCGCGCCCCCCGCGTGCGCTGTGGCGCCTGCCGTGGGCCCGCTGGGTGGCCTTGGAGCCATGCGCACGCCAGTCACGCCCCGGGCCTGCGCCCGAGTTGGAACCCTGCCCCAGGTCCCGGTCGCGGACTCGGCTGTCCGCACGGGTCAGGAGCGTGCCCTGGAGGGGCCGCTGCACCGGCCTGTCCACGAGACTCGGGGCTCCCCGGGGATCGGGGAGGGGGGGGACCAACTCCCCATCTCAGGCGCCGTGCGTGGGCCATCTTCGCTGCCACCCCACCCACACATCCTCTTAGCACCCACCCCGCCAACTCCTCCCAGACTTGAGCGAGGAGCGCTTGGAAATGCCCGTGAAAATCAGACGCCGCTGCCGCGTTCAGCATGATGGGTGTGCCACTAGAATGGCGATATGGGGTCTCAGCAGGGGGTGAGCCCCAGAGTTGCACTGGGGTATCAGACTGAGAAGTGAGGTGGCAGAGAGGCAAGGGCAGTGGGCGCACACCCCAACCTGCCACACTGCCTGTGCCCCCGCTATGCTCAGAGTCCCATGGGCCCTGGGTTATGTGGGAGCGCCAGGAGGTGCCTCACTGGTGTCTGGGCGCCGGCGGGAGCTAGGAGCCTCGGGGTGCAGGTGTAACTGAACTCCCAGGTGCTGTCGGGGGCTGCGCCGCCGCATCCCAGCTGGGCGTGGACCGGGACCCCCGCGGCCGCAGCGTGGGGAACGGTGGGGAAGACGGGGTGGAGAGGATCTGGGATGGCGAGACCCCTGGGGACAGGGTTCACCTGACACCGCCCCTGGGAGAAGAGCCGGGATCGAGGGCCAGTCGGGGGCACGCGAACGGGGGGCGCGGCCCCCGACGTGGACCTGCGGGCGTGAGCGCAGCCCCTTGTGCTTGGGGCCCCTTGGCCGGGGACACGCAGTCTCAGCCTGGACGCCGCCCGCCCTGAAGGCGCCTCTGGGTTCCTGGCCTCCCCGCTCAAAGCCCCGACCCGGGTGTCTGCTCGGGCCCGGCCTGCAGCAGGGACGGCCCCCCACCCCTCGCGGCTCCTCGTGGGCAGACCAGGCGGCCGGGCCGGTGGGCGGGCAGGGCGGCTGTGTGGGCGCCGGAGGAGGAGCGGCTCGGGCCACCAGGCCACGCGGCGGGGACGCCCCGCGTCATCTCCCCGCGCCCCCGCACCTTCGCCCGCCTACGTCATCGCCTCGCGCCGCGGCCCAGCCCGGCCGGCATGGCGGAGGTGGGCCGGGTGGCGGTGCGCGACCCGGCGCGGCTGCCGGGCGGCTTCTGGGCCGCCGTGGCCGTGTGGCTGGAGCGGCCGCAGGTGGCCAACAAGCGGCTGTGCGGCGCGCGCCTGGAGGCCCGGCGGAGCGTGGCGCTGGGCCGCGGCGCCGGGCCGGGCCCCACGGCGGCGCCGGGCGACGCCCGCGGCCGCGACCTCGAGGCGCTGTGGGCCGGCTTCTCCCGGGGCCTGGCCGGCCGCTGCCCGGCGCTCCTGGCCCTCCTCGCCGGCCCCGGGCCGCCCGCCGAGCCGCGCCAGCTGCAGCTGCTCTTGCGCAGCGTCATCCCCAAGGCCGCCCCGCGCCTCCCGCTGGCCGCCCCGCGCCGCGAGATGGTCGTGCAGGGTACGAGCGCGCCGCCGCCGCCGGGGAGGGGAGTGGGAGGCCGAGGGTCCGCTCCGGGGAGGGGACGGGGAGGCCGAGGGTCCGCTCCTGGGAGGGGAGGGGAGGCCGAGGGTCCGCTCCGGGGAGGGGATGGGGAGGCCGAGGGTCCGCTCCGGGGAGGAGAGGGGAGGCCGAGGGTCCGCTCCGGGGAGGGGATGGGGAGGCCGAGGGTCCGCTCCGGGGAGGGGATGGGGAGGCCGAGGGTCCGCTCCGGGGAGGAGAGGGGAGGCCGAGGGTCCGCTCCGGGGAGGGGATGGGGAGGCCGAGGGTCCGCTCTGGGCACCTCGCGGGCTGCGAGAGGCAGCGCAGCGCAGGGCGTGGGCCTCCCGACAGCGCCGTGCAGTGCTCCAGCCCCGGTGCTCTCCACTTGGTGCCCGTGGGCCCCTCGCCCAGCACCGCCCCCCCGTGGTTTCCCTGCGCGGTCCGTGTCTCGCTTCACCCCGTGGGACATGCGGAACAGCAGCCAACGCAGGCAGGCGCGGGGGCGCCGTCAGTGTTCCAGCAGCTCGCCTGGAGACCAGCCTCTCCCCCTGGCCAGGACGCAGAGTAGGGGTGTGGGGGTGGCACCGTGCTGTGTGCCCTTGGCTGTGCCCGCGCAGGAAGGTGCTCCCGGGCCCAGTGGAGTACTTGTCTCCCCCAGATGTCCTCGGAGGATGTGTGACTTTCATACCACTGGAGGCCGACGGGGACTCGGAGGTTGAGCCCTGCAGTGTGTATCAGCTGCGGCTCCTGCGCGAGGGGGAGCAGTGGTGAGTGCCCCCTGCTGCCTTCCCCTTGGTCCTGGGCCCCAGAGTGAGCAGCGGAGGAGCCACTTTTGGCTTGTGGGTTTGAAGAAGGCAGATTTCCGGGGCATGGGGCCAGAGAGAGCACAGCAGGGCAGCTGACTGGGGCTTGATCCCCACAACCCCATGTGGTCCCCTGAGCCTCACCAGGAGTGATCCTTGATCAGGGACCCAGGAGCAAGCCCTGAGTACTGCTGGATGTGGCCAAAAAACCAAAAGAGAGTTTTAGGGCTGGGGGAATGGCACGGTGATTTCTTTCTGTAGAGGAAATGGTGGGCTAGGACAGTGGGCCCCTCTGCTGGAGTAGTGGGGCAGGTGAGTTTCCCTCTCGGGCTGGGCCGGGCTGGTGCTGTGGCCTGGCAGGGCCTCCAGTCTGTGCCCTGGAGCCTTTGTGTGTGCGGCCCAGATCCGGCCCTGTTCAGACCAGTGCAGCCCACTTGGGGCAGGGCTGTGAAGGCGAGAGGCAGAGAGGCATTGATCCAGTTCTGTCCGAACCACAGAGTGGGCAGGAGGGAGGGACAGTGGCCCCAGTCCTGGATTGCCTCAGTGCTGACACTCTGCCCCTGTGTCGTCCCTGTCCCCGTTTCCCCTCCCCCCCAGCGTCCAGGCGGGAACATGCGTTGTGCAGTGTGAGGCTCAGGGCCCGGCCCTGCACCCCCGAAGGTTGGAGACCGGCTCTGCTCACCCCCCTCTCTCTCTTGTTTTCAAAGGTTCATATCTGTTTTAATTTTCTGTCCAGAAAAGTGGCCTTCGGATGGGGTCGTATGTCCCAGCCTGGCTTGGCTCGGAGGGGAACTGTTGGCCAAGCTGGCCCGGTGGAGCGCCGAGAGCAAGAGCAGTGGTGGCAGGGGCACCCTTTGCCTGCTCCCTCTGGTGCCGTACAGTCGGACATACTGGCGTCTGAAGGACAAGTACAGGGACCTGGTCAAGGTGACTGCCAAGCCCCCCCCACACGGGCCGGTCAGAGGGCAGGAGAGCAGATTGCAAAACAGACGGGCACAGTGTCCTGGCACCACACCCACCCATGCGGCGGGCATCGTGCCCCTGCAGCCTGACCCAGGCCCAGCAGTGGGCGCTCCGGCCTTTGTCTGGGGCTGTCCCGCTGGCCCGAGAGCCGAGCACTGGGGTCATTCTACGCGTCCCTCTAGCTAAGCTCACTGTGGGGAGAAAACCACGGACCCAGACTTCTCAGCTCCCAATTGCGCCCCTCCCTCGGCTCCTGCTTTTGGCCCTGGCCTGGCCCCGGTTGCCTGTTGGGGTGTATCACTGCACTCCAGATGTCTCAGCTGCAGTTTGATCTTCTGAAGCCTCCGTCATCCTACCCCGTCGCAGGTGCCCGTTGTCCTCAGGGCGGGGAATCTACCTGGGAGGTGCCCTGCTACTCCAGCTCAGATAGAGCCGTGCTGCCTCTCCACTGCCCCTTCTTTTTTATTTATTTATTTATTTATTGAATCACTGTGGGAAAGGTTACAAAGCTTTCAGGTTTATGTCTCAGTCATGCAAATATCAAACACATTTCCCTTTACCAATACTTATTTTTTACCATGAAGAACCCCAATAAAACCCCACCCCCCACCCCTCCCCGTCCCTGTGAGGCAGATGAATTCTAGTTAACACTCTATCTGCTTTGATTAGATTCATTGTTTCAATAAAAGATTCACCACTATTATTTAGAGTTTACCCCCCCCCCCCCCCAAATCAGACATGCTGAAAAAGCATTGTGAAGTGATTTGCTTTCTACGGCTGGGTTCAAGAATTAAATGTTGGTTTTGGATTTCTGCTCTTTTACCTATTGACCCTGGAAGTATTTCTACTGAAAGTCAGATAGTTAAGAAATTGGTTTCTGTGTTCTGGAGTCCTGGCCGTGCTGGAGAGCCGCTCGCGGGGGGCAACCGGTGGCCTCGGTAGGGCGTGAAGGGCGGAGCGAAACGCCCCCCTTCCCATGAGGTTTTAGTCGCCCCCACACTCCCGGCCCATACCTGCTGTCCACAAGGCTCCCATGTGGCCGCCATCTTTCTTTCCAGAGAGGAGAGGGCGAATGGGGCAACACCCTTTCCCCTCCGGCAGACTTGATGGCCTGGATCAATGCATAGTCCGTTCACTTTTCTGCTCCAAGCTGCTGGGTTCTGCATTAAGTCCTTGTGCTTCTGGGGCCGTGGCCGTGCTGGAGAGCCGCTCGTGGGGGGCAACTGGTGACCTCGGTAGGGCGTGAAGGACGGACCAGAACACCCCCCTTCCCATGAGGTTTTAGTCGCCGCCACACCCCCGGCTCATACCTGCTGTCCACAAGGCCCCCATGTGGCCGCCATCTTTCTTTCCAGAGGGAGGAGGGCGGAAGGGAGCAACACCCTTTCCCCTCTGGGCAGAAATGATTGCCTGGATTAACGCATAGTCCTTTCATTTTTCTGCTCCAAGCTGCTGGGTTCTGCATTAAGCCCTTGTGCTTCTGGGACTGTGGCCGTGCTGGAGAGCCGCTCGTGGGGGGCAACTGGTGACCTCGGTAGGGCGTGAAGGACGGACCGGAACGCCCCCCTTCCCATGAGGTTTTAGTCGCCCCCACACTCCCGGCTCATACCTGCTGTCCACAAGGCTCCCATGTGGCCGCCATCTTTCTTTCCAGAGAGGAGAGGGCGAATGGGGCAACACCCTTTCCCCTCCGGCAGACTTGATGGGCTGGATCAACGCATGGTCCATTCACTTTTCTGCTCCAAGCTGCTGGGTTCTGCATTAAGTCCTTGTGCTTCTGGGGCCGTGGCCTCCACTGCCCCTTCTGGGAGCCCGCACTGTCTACCCCACGCTGGCCCTGGGCCCTCGGAGCCACCCCTGGCCATGCGGGCCTCGCCTTGCTGTCCTCTGGATCCAAGACTCGCCCGGGGCCAGGCCAGTCCATGGTGCTGCCCACCTCCTTGCTTCTCCTGACCCCTTCCCTTGTCCTCCAGAGAGCGATGAGGGGGTGCCTGGGCCGCACAGTGACACATGCGCCCTCTTTCGAACAGGCAGGTCCCCGTAGTCTCTGGTTCTTCATCACACAAGCCTCTTTCCCTCATGGAATGTCCTAGGTGTGGCCAGAAGTCACCGACCCTGAGAAGTTCGTGTATGAGGACGTGGCCATTGCTACCTACCTCTTGGTACGCTGGGGTGACTGGAACATCAAGCAGGCTGTCGGGGGCTGCTGGCGGTGGGAGAAGCAGAGGCAGGCCATCTTCCTGCCTGTCCACCAGCACTACTCCCACTAACCAGCACCGCCCCCTTACTCCCCGGTGACTAGCACCCCCTGCACTGAGCAGTGCCACGGCCATAGTGACCAGCATTCCCTAGTAACGAGCACTGCCCCACTGTTCAGCACCAACCCCCTACTGACCAGCCTGGTGCCCAGTGTTCCCTCCTGTGACCAGCATCGCCTCCCCTGCCAGCTGCCAACCCTGATCCGGGCAGCCCCTGCCATCTCAGCTGTGCCATTGCAATGGCAGGTGGGCTGGTCCCGGGGTCTGTTTAGAAGCTGCAGGTGCTCTGGGCAGATCCAAGGCTGAGCATGGAGAGTTGCCTTGGAGGCTTGGGGTCCCTACCTGGACCCGGGTGCTGTGGGGGAGCAGAGCCTGAGGCCCACGTGATCCGTGGGGAGTCCCAGGAGTGCCGGGAGCTACTCGCTTTCCCTCTTGTAGGTTCTGTGGGAGGAAGAGCGCACCGCACAGGGACTGGACACCAAGCAGTCCTTCGTGGACCTGGGCTGCGGGAATGGGCTGCTGGTCCACATCCTGAACACTGAGGGGGTGAGTCACCCGGGGCTGTGGGAACGGGCCTCTGCTGACCACTGAGGGGTGAGCTACCCAGGGCTGTGGGAACAGGCCCCTGCCCTGAGCACTGAGGGGGTGAGCCGCCTGGGGCTGCCGGAATGGGCCCCTGCTGAGCACTGAGGGGGCGGGGCAGCCCTGCCCTTTCTGCACCTCTAGCGTGGCCTCTAGCCTTGTCCCGGGCAAACGCTGCATCAACATCGGGCCGGGCTATGGCAGGGCTTCACTGGTGACCTGGCATGCAGCTTATGAGGCGGGCAGGGATGGTGACCCAGCTCGACAGGGATGGCCCACACAGATGTGGCGGGAGGCTGCAGGGGAGCAGATGGCAGCGTGGCCCCATGTGGCTGGGCGAATGGCTGGAGCACGCAGCTGTGGAGAGGTGGGGCTGAGGCCCGCTGGGGGCCTGTCAGTCAGCAGAGCCAGCAAGGGTAGGCGGCACAGGGCGTGGGCCCTGCGGGCCCGGGGCTGGCAGGAATGCCAGGGTGGATGCCCTCTTGGGACCCTTGGCCGGCGCCTTCTGGGAGAACACCTGAGCACACCAGGCCCGAGGGGTGTGCGCAGCGGGCAGTGATGGAGGGATCCAGGCGGGTCACTGGCCTGGTGTGGGGCTCCCCCGACTTCGGGATGCACGTGTCCAGGCCCTGCTGGGGGGCAGAGGCCTTTGAACTCGCTGGTGCTGCAATTTACCCAGGTTTCTCGTCCCGCCCCCAGCACCCTGGCCGTGGCATCGACGTGCGGAGAAGGAAGATCTGGGACCTATATGGCCCGCAGACACGCCTCGAGGTGCGGGAAGGGTGGGAAAGAGCCCACCTGAGCCACCAGCCCCACGCCCCTCCTGCACGGGCGGGGCGGCCCCCTCGGCCACACGCATCTCACCTGCATCCACAGCTCTCTTCCAAACACTCCTGTCATGGTCTCGTCTGTGTCTCACTGTGGAACTCTCGACTCTGCGTCGCATGTGTGTGCACTCCTCCCACGCATCCACTGCTGGCTCCTTTGTTCGTGTTCGCTCACAACTCGCCTGCACGTTCTCTTGTTCTCACGTTCACACCCACTCAGCACTCATGACCTGCGCCCTTTGGCCCTTGCACGCCACGCACTTCCACACACTCGCGCACTCACCCCCGCAGCTCTGCCCCCCGGGGTGGTCTTCAGCCTCATGCTTGCTCCACCAGGAGGCCGCCATCACGCCGGGTGACGAGATGCTCTTCCCGGGTGTGGACTGGCTGATCGGGAACCACTCGGATGAGCTCACGCCATGGATCCCCGTCATCGCAGCCCGGTGGGTGAACAGCCATTCACGGCGGCCGGGCGGGTGGCATGTCTCTGGCATGTCTCGGGGGTTGGTAAGAGCATTAGCTGGCTCTGTGGGAGAGGCCGGAGGTCTGAGGGGGCTCCTGGCAGTTCTTGGCCAGCTGGCCAGTTTCATATGAGAACCCTGCAGTACCCCCGAAGTCAGGGGCCTCCAGGCTGCACCTCGGGGTGCTTGAGGCCGTGTGGTACCAGGGTTCACCAGGGCTGCTGCAAGCAAGGCAGCTGCCCCCTCTCTTCCCGTACCTCTCCCTCCTCCCTCTCTCTCCCTCTTCCCCCTTTCCCCCTCCTCACTCTTCCCCCTGCCTTCATCTTCCTGGCACCCTCGGCCCCTGCACACTCTTAAACCCCCCTGCCGCCACCCCCCCCCCCCCCCAGGTCCTCCTTCCACTGCCGCTTCTTTGTGCTCCCCTGCTGCTTCTTTGACTTCGTGGGCCGGTTCCGGCGGCGGCAGAGCCAGAGGACGCAATACCGGGAGTACCTGGACTTTGTGAAGGAGGTGGGCACTGTCTGCGGCTTCCACGTGGAGGAGGACAGTCTGCGGATCCCGTCCACCAAGCGGGTGCGTGCCGTGCGGGCCTCTCTGCTCTCAGCCCCCCACTCTGAGGGTCCCTGAGAGCCGGCTGAGCTGGGAGTTGGGGACGCCTTCCGGGCGCCATGAAGCCGCCCTGCTTCCGTGGACAGAGCGAGGTGCGTGCCCAGGGCCCTGCGCTGTTGGGGAGCCGAGCACCCTGAGGCCTAAACCATGCAGGATGCAGGTGTCCACCCTGAGCGTGCTCTGCAGCCATGCTCTGCTGTGACATCAGGGTTTGGGAACGACCGTCAGCCTCACACTAGGCCTGACAGCTGTACGACGCAGAGGCATGGCGGGCCGAACGATCACCACAGTCCAGAGAGGCCAAGTGGTCAGCTGCAGTGCTCAGCAGCTGCCGCGCCTCCACTTGCTGCTGGGCCCTGGAGAGCAGGTGGCCGGGCTCGGGCTAACCCACAGTTCCTTGGGGCCTGCATCTCCCTGGATGGTGTCTGGCCCCTCCAGGCCTGGTTTGCAGCTCGGCACCGAGTCCCGGAAATGGCTGTGTAGTTGCTGGACACCAGGTGCCCACATCTGGCGCTGGTGCTTGGTGCCCCAAATCCTCCTCACCCATGGACAAGTGCCGCATCTCTCTGGGGTCTGTTTTCTGGTGCCTGAGGCTTGGGGCACCTTGAGGCTTAATCGAGCCTCATGGCTTTCCCCACACCAGCTGTCAGCCGCCCTCAGCCCTGCTCCCCGCGTCAGGCTGTCAGCCGTCCTTAACACTTCAACCCGCATGGCAGTCAGCTGCCCTCAGCCCTGCTCCCAGCCGTAGGTCAACCCTCCGTGCTGTCCCCGTGGGCACCTGCCCTCGGGACAGTTTGGGGGAGCCATGCTGATGGGGTGGGAGGGCCCAGCTCTGCCCGACCCCGTGGGGCTCTGCCTGTGGCCAGAGTCCGTGGGGGCAGCTTCCTGCTCTTCCACAGGTGTGTCTCATCGGGAGAGCCCGCACCTACCCGGCTTCCAGGGAGGCAGCCATAGATGAGCAGAGGACCCGCTACATCCGCAGCCGACAGGAATGCCCCCCGGACCCCACTGCGCTGCCCTCGGACCCCACCGACCCGCAGGGGCCCGGCCGCTGGCTGCCCGCCTTCTCGCCACGGGAACAGGTGGAGCGTGTGCGGAACGGCGCTGCCCTGCCCCGGGAGCTCACCGAGCGTGTGGTGCTGCAGGTGGCCCGGCTCCTGCTGGCCCGAGGGGACCCAGGAGCCGCCCTGAGCCGGACTCCGACCTGGAACGCCGGGGGTAAGCCCCAGACCCGCACCCACCACCGGCCTCAGGACTGTGAGGGGCATCGTGTCCTTGGGCCCCGGGGGACTGAGTGCCCGCTGGGTCTCTGGCTGCCCCCGGAGCCCCACCCGCCCAGCTGGGCCTGCGGTCAGGGCTGCCTCCATCCCGCCCCTGGCAGGGCCGTCCGTCTGGGTCTGGACCCCTCGCGTGATTGGGCCTGTCCCCCAGACCTGGCAGGCTAGGGGGGCACATGGTGCGGAGTCCCCTCCAGGCTCACAGCCTGTTACTTCTAAACTCGTGCTTCTCCTGGAGTGGGGGCTCCTGGGGGTGGCCGGGGCCCAGCTCTGCCCTTAAACCGCTGGCATCCGCGTGGGGTTAGGGCCTGGGCCTGGGCGCTGGCTGCTCACGGCGCCCTCTCCTGCGGGGACCCCACCTCCACAGGGAGCTTGCCCTTGGCGGAAGTGGCCTGTGAGCTAGACAGGGAGACGCGGGGGCAGCTGCGGCGGGAGTGTGGGGGTTTGCAGACGCTGCTGCGGAACCACCACCAGGTGTTTGCAGGTACCTGCGCGGCGGCCCCGCACCGCACCTATACCCCCACCATCCCCTCCCGCCCTGCCCTGCACCCTCTCACCATCCCCTCTCAACACGACCCCCCGCCCTGCCCCCTCACCATCCGCTCCCACCGTGCCCCCCCCCCTCCCTGCGCTTCTGCCTGACACCTGGCAGCACTGTCCATGCCTAAGGGTGGATGTAGGCGCAGATGAGCCAGTGCAAGCCCTGGCCCTGCTCTGGCATGAAGAAGTGCTGTGCCCCCCTGGTCTGTGCCAGCCCTGCGGGGGCTCAGCACACACGCCCAGCCTTGGGGCTCAGTGTGGGGAGCCCGCGGGGCAAGCGTCCTCTGCGCTCTTCTCTGCGGCCCTGCTGTGTCTCTGGGGACACTGGGAGGTCTCAGCTGCCCAAGCAGATTTGCCCCACTGGGACAGTGACCCAGGCCCGCTCGACACCTCCTCCTGACAGCCCCCCACGCATCCCTCCCACCCTTGGCCCGCAGTCCTGGCGCTGCAGGGCCCATCTGTCACTCCACTGTGCCCCACAGTGCGCAGCGGGCAAGTCCGCCTTCGAGACTGGAGGGAGGAGCCACTGCCCGAGGAGGAGGAGGAGGAAGAGGAAGAGGGAGGGAGCGTCCAAAACAGCCGGAGCAGGCGGCTCCCCTCTGCCCGCAAGACCCGCCTCTGCTGGTTCTTCTCGCACCACCCGGATGGCTGCGTGCTGCCCGCGCCACGCTGCCCCTTTGCCCACGGGCCTGCGGAGCTGCGGCCGGCTCAGGACCCCCGGAAGCGGCGACAGCAGCAGGAGGCCCCGTGATGGGTGGTGCGCGCGCGCTGCTGTAACACTCCGTCAGGCTGTCCACGTGTCTGCCCAGCGTGCCTGCCTGTCCTTGGGAAGCTGCCTGGTGGTGGCCGCTGCCTCCCTCAGCCCCCGGTGGATGTGAGAATGGGCCCGTGGCCTTCCCATGTGTCCCCTGGACCCAGACGGCTCCTCTGGAAAACACGCCTGTTTAGCCCCAGGGGCTGCGTTCATTGTCTGAGTCGTGTCTGGGTCTGGGGCTGCGCTGCGGGGTGCTGGGGCGGGTCCTGCCTTGTGTCTGTGGGGTCAGGCATAGGAGGATCAGAGCCGGGGTCCGCACCGTCCTGCACAGGCTTGGGGGCCCGTGAGGTTGCAGGGCCCCCACTTCCTGAGGTCGGACACTGCACTGCCCCTTTACAGCCAGCAGTGTGCCTGCTGCATATTGGGGTAGAGTGACCAGTGTCCTGCCTGGGCCTGTCCGAGACCCCAATGGCAGCTGCAACCAAACTTTCAGGGGCCCTGTGTGAAGATGGGTTTCCACCAGCGACCCGGGCTGCCTCTCCTAGGAATGGTGGGGCATAGCAGGCTTCCTGGAGGAGGCGGTGGCGGCGGCTGCTTCGGAGGCATGAGTGGGTGGGTGGGGCCTCAGGTCTGCTTGCCCTCAGAGTGCTGCCTTCACGCCCTGCCCTGTGTTCCTGCAGTGGGGATCCCTCCCAGCACTATGGGGCACCCCTGGCTGGCAGAGGGCAGACCCGGGCCCAGCCTAAGCCACACAGGGACAGCGGAGGGTGGGGAGGGGGTGCCAGCCCTCCTGGTTCTTGGGGGTTCCTGGCCTCCTGGGTGGCCCATCAGGTGAGACGCACCCGACCCCAGGCTTCTCTCAAAGCCCCAGCTTCCCCCAGCCTGTGGGCCTCAGGGCTGGTTCCCAGGGATGCTCACCTGCTGTGGGGGTCACCCCTGACTCCCTTTCTTGCTCTGGGCTGGTGAATGAGGCAGCTTGGGGGGTGCTCACATTCAGCTCCGAGGTGTTTGTCTGGGACCTCAGACGGGTTAGGCCACATCCCTCTGTCCCACAGTCAGCCTAACCAGAGACCCAGGCTCCCAGCATCGTGGGGGCAGACCCCCCATCCCAGCACTGGGGACACATTCCCAGCTTGCAGCACTGGGGGCCAGACTGTTTCCCCCTCAGCAGTGTGGAGCCAACCCCCCCTCCTAGCGCATCCTGGACAACCTCCCTGGGCTGTCAGTGTGGCCAGCAGGTGGCGCTCCAGGCTGGCGGCTGCGGAGTCAGTTCCCGGCGCTGCCGCCAGGTGTGGCAGCACCACCGTCTTGCTGTGCTTCCTAAGGATGGTGTGTTAAGTTGCCAGGGCGCTCCCGGGTGCTGCTCTCCGCTCCTCCCCCGGGCCTGGGCATTCTGTGACCCAACCCGGCTGACACCCCAGCAAGGAACTGAGGCTCTTGCCCCCCACTCTCCGGCTCAGGCTGCAGTGACCCTGGTGAGGACGCGAGGACCCAAGGCTTCCTGCCAGGATGCAGGGCGTGGTCACCTGCTTCCACGTCCTGGCCTGTGGCGACACCACGGACCTCTCACAAGGCCCCCAGAGCTGGTGTTTGCAGGCCATCCCGAGCCCCACCAGCAGTGGTCACACTGCACCCTGGGGGTCCTGATCCGACTGAAATGTCCGGTAGAAAGTAGGAATGTAGGAAGACAGAGGGTATGGGGCTGCAGCGGAGACCCCTCAGCGCTGGGGGACCAGCGCTGCCAGGGGCCCCTTCCTTCCTCTGTCCTCTTGCCTCACGTTTTTGATTTTTTTGTTTGCTTTTTTTTTTTTTTCTGAAGCTGTGCTGGTTTCTGTAATGATACCCAAACAGGGTTCAGCCTGGAGCCTCAGTCCCGCCCCTCCGCCCCTCCCATTGCTCCAGAACTGGGGGCCAGGGCTGCGTTCCATCCTGCCTGGGGAGCAGTTACCCCTGCCCTGCTGCCTCTTGGAGGCCCCTTACACGGAGATGCAGCACCCGGGGCAGGAAAGGGCAGTGGGGCGTCCTGTCTGGCCCTGTGCAGCCCCCTACAATGCCACAGTTCTCTGTTGGGAGTCTGATGAGTGGCAGGTAGGCCCTGAGTCTCCTTGGAAACGGGGGCGGGGCCAGGTGAGTCTGAGGCTCTGCCGAGACCCCCAGAGGAATCAAGTCTCAGGCAGGAGTGGGCTGTGGGGTGACCCGACGCCCCCAGCCTTTCCCGAGGGGCAGCCCTGGGCACTGCCTGGGGGTGCTGCCCGTCCAGGGTATGAACCCGAGACAGTTTTTGTTGGGAGGCTTTGGGGTGTTCCAGGGACAGCGCAAGGGGAGCTGGGGACGGTGGTCCCCAGGGCCGCAGCACGGTGGCGGGGGCAGCCGGCTGGAGCCCCTGAGCCGGCTCTGCTGCCCGGCCTGCGCGCCCCCAATCCCGGAGGACAGGGACTGGCCAGGCGCCCCGCCGGCTTCCCAGCGTCCAGGCTCCGTCCCGGCCACCTCTGCAAGCGCACGAACTCTGGAAGTGCAGCTCCACCGCGGCCAACGGGCCAGCCCTCCCCACGGGCACCGCTCCGGTCTGGGGGCCTTCCTCCTGGCGGGGCTCTGCTCGGTGCCCCCACCCTGGCCCGGCGCGTGCAAGACAAACTGCCCTCGCTGGCCCGCCCGCCCGCCGCCCTGGCTCCGGCCTCTGGGAGCTTATTTTAACCCCTTTCTCCCCAGCGCCAGGGCTGGGGCAGCGGGGCGCCGAGGGGGATGGGGGCTCCCTGGGCGTAGGGGTGTGTGGACTCCAGGGGCGCCCGAAGGTGGGGAGCCTGCCCGGCCCTCCCGCCCCCGCCGGCCGGGCCAGGGAAGAGCTGCGCGGCCCCAGGCCACGTCAGCGCACCCCACCTGGAGACCGCCTGGCTGCAGTGCCTGGAGTGCCGGGAAGGGAAGCGGGCGGCTTCCAAGGAAGGTGGCATGGGGATGGCTGCCTGGAATGCGCCGGATTCTGCACGCCCGCGCTCGCCAAGGCTGGCCTGGCTCCTGGGGCGCGAGGCTGGCGGGAGAGCAGCGCTGAGCGCGCGGGGCGGGGCTGAGCGCGCGGGGCGGGGCTGAGCGGGCGGGGCCGGGCTAGCAGGGGGCGGGGCCGACCCGTCTGGGGCCTAAGAGGAGGGCGGAAGGCGCCGAGTCTTGCGCCCGCTGGTCCTGACTCTGGGTTTCTGGGCGCTAAACAGGCGAGGTGGCAGCAGTCCGCGGGCTCTGTGGGACGGTGCCAGCGCCAGCCGGGGTGCTCTCCCCACAGGACGCCGGGAGTGTGTCCCGACGGCAAGGTGTGTGGGGGCTGTGCTTTGAGCCTCAGTTCTGGCAAAGTGTGGGTTGCAGAAATCTAACGTGCACGCAGGAGTAGTCCTGGGGGGCCTGGGAGCAAGCTTACAGCATAGGTTGCAAGGTCCCCAGGAGTTCCTTGAAGCAGGACAGACAGCGGGGTCACCCCCCTCCACACACACACACACACACACATACACACACACACACACACACACACACACACACTCCTTTCACTCCTGCTCTTCCCTTCTTCCCAGCTGGAATGCATATGTGGTGGCTGCAGCTGCAGCAGCCACTCTGGGGTGTAAGAGATGCGTGTACACACAGTGTTGGAGCAGAATGAGCGGAGAGGTCTGTGCTGGTCTGGTGACGTGTTCCCATGTCCCAACATCTCTGCCAGAGAGAGGACCCTTGCACCAGGCCTGCCTGTTCATCCACTTGACTGCATGTCCCAATCAGGGGACTGTGCAGCACAGGGGCCCCGGGGTACAGGAAATAGCGAGTGAGCCCAGCACTGTGACGATGCACGCAGCAGCGGAGATGTGACACATGCAGAGACTAACCACGATGCACACAGCAGTGTCAGGCAGTGCACCTGCCTCTGGACACAGGGAACTCCAAAGGAAAGCCACTTTTCTGCTGGGGAGATTGAAGGGAGCCATCCCAGGCGGAGCCCTTGGCAGATTCTACCAGAAGGAATGAGCGGCAGCGCCAAGTGTGCCTGGCCCCTCTGGGAAGCAGGCAAGGCCGAGCAATTCTTCATGTTGCTCCAGCATCACCCAATTCCCAGCCAGACATGCTTGCAGAAAACCACAAACTCATCTCTTAGGAATTTGAGGCCCCGAACTTTAAGCAAAATGTTAGCAAATGGAGCAGAGCCTGGTGTGTGTCAGCGTGGTGACATATGGCCAAGGAATGGAGGACGTGGGGGTCCAGCTTGGGGCACAACTTTTAAAGTCACCCATGTTGAGGCTGGAGAGATAGCACAGCGGGTAGGGCATTTGCCTTGCACGCGGCCGACCCGGGTTCGATTCCCAGCATCCCATATCCCTGAGCACCGCCAGGAGTAACTCCTGTGCATCGCCAGATGTGACCCGAAAAGCAAAAATAAATAAATAAAAAGATAAAAGTGACCCATGAAGGGGCTGAAGAGATAGTACAGCAGGGGGGCACTTGCCCTGAACGGGTCTGACCTGGTTTCCATCCCCAGCACCCCATATGGTCCCCCAGCCACCTCCAGGAGTGATTTCTGAGTGCAGAGCCAAGAGTAACCCTGAGCATCGCCAGGTTTGGTCCCCAAAATGACAACAAAATAAGTAACCCAGAAAATTCACCACATTGGAAAGTGAGCAAGGGAAAACTAGGCGCGTCTCTTCCCACACAGGAACAGTAGGACTGTGCCCCATGCCCTGACACTCTCCTGCTGGCACGCATGAGGCAGAAGGGGTGCGCCACCAAACCCGCATTCCTGGGGGTTCTGCCAGCGTGGTCAGAAGCATGCAACACAGTGTAGGGTCAGATGAACAGATGCTTCCCACGGGACAGGAAACATTGACATGTGGCAACCACCTGCGGGAGCTTGGGTCCCCCAGGGCTATTCCTGGGGGTCAGCCCAGGTTCTCAGGATGCCAGACTGTACTCCACCAATGAGAAACACCCCTGACCCCAAACAACAATATGTTTATGATGGAAATTGTACATTTTAAATGATTATTTACGATAGAATTGAAGACCATATTGACGTTTTGAAGAAGAGTCCTTTGAAATAAAACTGCCCAAGGGGAGCAGGGTCCCCGACAGGTGCAGAACCTTGCTGGCTGAAACCGACTGCAGCATTCAGATGCCCACGACCTTCTGCCTGCCACCCTGCAGCCAGTGAACCCTGAATCTCA